GCTTATTACACACACAGGTTATTACATACACACTCTGCTTATTACACACACAGGTTATTACATACACACTCTGCTTATTACACACACAGGTTATTACATACACACTCTGCTTATTACACACAAAGGTTATTACATACACACTCTGCTTATTACACACAAAGGTTATTACATACACACTCTGCTTATTACACACACAGGTTATTACATACACACTCTGCTTATTACACACACAGGTTATTACATACACACTCTGCTTATTACACACACAGGTTATTACATACACACTCTGCTTATTACACACAAAGGTTATTACACACTCTGCTTATTACACACACAGGTTATTACACACTCTGCTTATTACACACAAAGGTTATTACATACACACTCTGCTTATTACACACACAGGTTATTACATACACACTCTGCTTATTACACACACAGGTTATTACATACACACTCTGCTTATTACACACACAGGTTATTACATACATACTCTGCTTATTACACACAAAGGTTATTACACACTCTGCTTATTACACACACAGGTTATTACACACTCTGCTTATTACACACAAAGGTTATTACATACACACTCTGCTTATTACACACAAAGGTTATTACATACACACTCTGCTTATTACACACACAGGTTATTACATACACACTCTGCTTATTACACACACAGGTTATTACATACACACTCTGCTTATTACACACACAGGTTATTACATACACACTCTGCTTATTACACACACAGGTTATTACACACTCTGCTTATTACACACACAGGTTATTACATACACACTCTGCTTATTACACACAAAGGTTATTACATACACACTCTGCTTATTACACACACAGGTTATTACATACACACTCTGCTTATTACACACACAGGTTATTACATACACACTCTGCTTATTACACACACAGGTTATTACACACTCTGCTTATTACACACAAAGGTTATTACATACACACTCTGCTTATTACACACAAAGGTTATTACATACACACTCTGCTTATTACACACACAGGTTATTACATACACACTCTGCTTATTACACACACAGGTTATTACATACACACTCTGCTTATTACACACACAGGTTATTACATACACACTCTGCTTATTACACACACAGGTTATTACATACACACTGCTTATTACACAAAGGTTATTACACACTCTGCTTATTACACACACAGGTTATTACATACACACTCTGCTTATTACACACAAAGGTTATTACATACACACTCTGCTTATTACACACAAAGGTTATTACATACACACTCTGCTTATTACACACACAGGTTATTACATACACACTCTGCTTATTACACACAAAGGTTATTACATACACACTCTGCTTATTACACACACAGGTTATTACAAACACACTCTGCTTATTACACACACAGGTTATTACATACACACTCTGCTTATTACACACACAGGTTATTACATACACACTCTGCTTATTACACACACAGGTTATTACATACACACTCTGCTTATTACACACAAAGGTTATTACATACACACTCTGCTTATTACACACAAAGGTTATTACATACACACTCTGCTTATTACACACACAGGTTATTACATACACACTCTGCTTATTACACACACAGGTTATTACATACACACTCTGCTTATTACACACACAGGTTATTACATACACACTCTGCTTATTACACACAAAGGTTATTACACACTCTGCTTATTACACACACAGGTTATTACACACTCTGCTTATTACACACAAAGGTTATTACATACACACTCTGCTTATTACACACAAAGGTTATTACATACACACTCTGCTTATTACACACACAGGTTATTACATACACACTCTGCTTATTACACACACAGGTTATTACATACGCACTCTGCTTATTACACACACAGGTTATTACATACACACTCTGCTTATTACACACACAGGTTATTACACACTCTGCTTATTACACACACAGGTTATTACACACTCTGCTTATTACACACAAAGGTTATTACATACACACTCTGCTTATTACACACACAGGTTATTACATACACACTCTGCTTATTACACACACAGGTTATTACATACACACTCTGCTTATTACACACACAGGTTATTACATACACACTCTGCTTATTAAACACACAGGTTATTACACACTCTGCTTATTACACACACAGGTTATTACATACACACTCTGCTTATTACACACAAAGGTTATTACATACACACTCTGCTTATTACACACACAGGTTATTACATACACACTCTGCTTATTACACACACAGGTTATTACATACACACTCTGCTTATTACACACACAGGTTATTACATACACACTCTGCTTATTACACACACAGGTTATTACATACACACTCTGCTTATTACACACAAAGGTTATTACACACTGCTTATTACACACACAGGTTATTACATACACACTCTGCTTATTACATACAAAGGTTATTACATACACACTCTGCTTATTACACACAAAGGTTATTACATACACACTCTGCTTATTACACACACAGGTTATTACAAACACACTCTGCTTATTACACACACAGGTTATTACATACACACTCTGCTTATTACACACACAGGTTATTACATACACACTCTGCTTATTACACACACAGGTTATTACATACACACTCTGCTTATTACACACAAAGGTTATTACATACACACTCTGCTTATTACACACAAAGGTTATTACATACACACTCTGCTTATTACACACACAGGTTATTACATACACACTCTGCTTATTACACACACAGGTTATTACATACACACTCTGCTTATTACACACACAGGTTATTACATACACACTCTGCTTATTACACACAAAGGTTATTACACACTCTGCTTATTACACACACAGGTTATTACACACTCTGCTTATTACACACAAAGGTTATTACATACACACTCTGCTTATTACACACAAAGGTTATTACATACACACTCTGCTTATTACACACACAGGTTATTACATACACACTCTGCTTATTACACACACAGGTTATTACATACGCACTCTGCTTATTACACACACAGGTTATTACATACACACTCTGCTTATTACACACACAGGTTATTACACACTCTGCTTATTACACACACAGGTTATTACACACTCTGCTTATTACACACAAAGGTTATTACATACACACTCTGCTTATTACACACACAGGTTATTACATACACACTCTGCTTATTACACACACAGGTTATTACATACACACTCTGCTTATTAAACACACAGGTTATTACACACTCTGCTTATTACAAACACAGGTTATTACATACACACTCTGCTTATTACACACAAAGGTTATTACATACACACTCTGCTTATTACACACACAGGTTATTACATACACACTCTGCTTATTACACACACAGGTTATTACATACACACTCTGCTTATTACACACACAGGTTATTACATACACACTCTGCTTATTACACACACAGGTTATTACATACACACTCTGCTTATTACACACAAAGGTTATTACACACTGCTTATTACACACACAGGTTATTACATACACACTCTGCTTATTACATACAAAGGTTATTACATACACACTCTGCTTATTACACACACAGGTTATTACACACTCTGCTTATTACACACACAGGTTATTACATACACACTCTGCTTAGTACACACAAAGGTTATTACATACACACTCTGCTTATTACACACACAGGTTATTACATACACACTCTGCTTATTACACACACAGGTTATTACATACACACTCTGCTTATTACACACAAAGGTTATTACATACACACTCTGCTTATTACACACAAAGGTTATTACATACACACTCTGCTTATTACACACACAGGTTATTACATACACACTCTGCTTATTACACACACAGGTTATTACATACACACTCTGCTTATTACACACACAGGGACATGCAGCCACACACAAACATGCCAAATATTACCAATAAATGGATTACAATGTAAAAGATTATTGTGTACATAAAGATATGGTGAATCCGGCTTGTTCCGTAGATGTTCTGCTGCTCGCACACACACACTCACACACACACAGCTTTAACCTCACGCACGAGCAGATCGGCTAATTCCTCCATGTAAATAGCGAATCCGCCATGCGAGCGCAACTGGCTTTTAAAGGGAATGGGACATGAGACTGATTGGTTTATTTCACGTTACGCCCAAAACACACACATTACTCATTAAGAGAATAGAGACAAAACACACACATTACTCATTAAGAGAATAGAGACAAAACACACACATTATTCATTAAGAGAATAGAGACAAAACACACTCATTACTCATTAAGAGAATAGGGACAAAACACACTCATTACTCATTAAGAGAATAGAGACAAAACACACACATTACTCATTAAGAGAATAGGGACAAAACACACTCATTACTCATTAAGAGAATAGAGACAAAACACACACATTACTCATTAAGAGAATAGGGACAAAACACACCCATTACTCATTAAGAGAATAGAGACAAAACACACACATTATTCATTAAGAGAATAGAGACAAAACACACTCATTACTCATTA